GGGGGAGGGGCTCACTAAGGCAGCCGCCAGGGCTCTAAGCTGCGGGCTGGCCAGCAGTGACCTGTCTAGGACGAGTTTGTTATACAGCAGATTCCTGCTATGAGCAAAGCGTCTGGGACCAGCGTCCCTACTAAGAGGACAAGGAGCACTTTAGCGGCAGCAGCGGCTGCAGACGCTGCGCTGATGGGCGAGCGGTTGGTTAGTGAAGGCAGTCCTGGGCTTTGTGACATTTACGTGTGAAAGTGGCATCTTTTCAGGGCTGTGCCTTTAGGGGCGGGTCTGTATTTACTGTGCTAGTTCCCTTCCAGCACCTACTCTCTCACCCTTTTCCCCTCTGACCTCCCACCTCCTTCCACGACCCTGGAGTGAATTTCCCAGGAGCTCCCCCCGGGCTGTCTGAATGGCCTTCCCCACCCAGCCCGGGGCCCGCCCGGACTCTGGGGCTGGCCAGGCCGGTGCCGGGGGGAGCATCCTCCCTGCCTGTCCTGGCCCTCACACCCCCCCGCTGCATTCTTGGGGTTCAGTACTGCTTGGCCTTCGAGGAAGGTTTTCTCAACCGCTCGGCCGGACTTGCCTTGAGAGTCATGTAAGAAGTTTTAAGTTATATTTATTTTGTTGTTGTTGTTAATTGCACAAAACACTAAGACCGAGAGGCTGGATCTGTGTCTCCTCTAAGCTCCGCCTTCTTCCTGAACCTCCTTTCCTGCTGGGGGGAGCCTGGATGCAGCCCGCGCCCCACCCCCCGCCTCATTAGCTGTATTTAGCTTTGGATTCCTCTGCATCCACCCGGTCACCCTTGTGTATACATAACCCAGCCTTCTCGGGAAGGAGCAGAGTGTCGCCGAGCCAGTGCCTTTTCTCTGGAGGGGAGGACGCCCCGAGGGGTCTCCTGCCCTCTGCACCCCGCTCCCCGAGCCACCGTGGAGAACACTGAACTGTTACAACCCGCACAGGCCTGTCAGACAGGCTGCCGCGCTCTGTACCTTCCTAATAAAGGCCTGGAGACCACCGTGCTGTCTGCAGTGTCCTCCCCCGCCCTGGAGAGGTGGGGGGCGGGGCGGGAGGGGCCTGGAAACTGGAGGATTGAGTCGGGCTGTGATGACCCCTCGGGCGGAACAGGGGCCTGATTGAATAGCGTTTTAATCTGCAAAGGATTTAAGACACGCTCCAAAGCAAGTCCTTGCTGCCTCTTCCACAAAACCTTCAGCGTAGCCCAGGGCCCTGACCAGCCACCAGCCGTGCTTCCCCGGCATTGCCCCGCCCTCCCCCCCGGCTGGGGAGCCCCTACAGCCTCGGGGGGCTCACATCTGCAGTCTCCTTTTTAAAAAATACATTTTTATTGATTTCGGAGAGGAAAGGAGAGGGGGAGAGAGACAGAAACATCGATGACAAGAGAGAGAAGCACAGATCGTCTGCCTCCTGCACGCCCCCTATTGGAGATCGAGCCCGCAACCTGGGCATGTGCCCTGACCAGGAATCAAACCGTGACCTCCTGGTTCATGGGCCACGCTCAACCATTGAGCCACGTTGGTCGGGCTATGGTCCCCTTTTATCCCCATATCAACTCCATGAACAAGGCTGTGTCGTCTCCATTTTACAGATGGGGAAACTGAGGCTTCAAAGATCAAATACCTTGACCTGGGGAGTAAATGGGAAGCAGGGATTCGAATCCAGAAATTGCCTGGTTTCTAAACCGATTCTGTCTTCCTACCTGGGAGTGTGTGGGGGGCACAGAGCTTGTGTTCTCTTGGCCCAGGTCCCAGGGGTGGGGCCGAGCTCTGGTTGCCCAGACCCTCGGCCAGCCCGGGAGTGTGTGTGGGGGGGAGGGGGGGGACCCTGAACCAGGAGCCCTCTGACCCTCGGGCACTGTGTGTCCCAGGCTCTGTGACCTCAGGGAAGCACAGCCCTCTGTCCCCTCAGCCCCGGGACACAGACTCACAGTCACCATCGCCCCTCCCCCACCCACCGCAGCAGCCGCAGCGACAAGGTCACCTGCCGCTCACCTGGCTCATGGCCTCCCACAGAAAACCCAGTGTGCCGGACTGACCTGCAGACCCTGAGCAACGGGCGAATGATGACTCTGACACACGGTCTGTGAAAGAGAGGCTAAGGGGCTGCCTGGCTAAAGGGACCCGGCAGCCCTGTTCGCCTGCCTCCTTCGGCTTTTATTGCAGCAACAGCTTGAACTAAAATTAACCCCTAGACACAATCAGCCGGGCAAGCATCCTTGAGAAAACACATGCATCTGCAGCGTCTTTCAAACAAGGACGTCTGAAGTGTAAACATAGAGATTCCAGTGAACACCCGGGGCTCAGGCTCATTTGGAAAAGTCAAGGCAGGGGTTGCCGCCTTCGGCAAGATCCCCCAGAGGCCCCTGACCTTTCAGAGAATCCTCCTTACAGACCTTCCAACCAAGCCCCGTGCTTCCCACACCAGCGCATCCCAGTTCTCCCAAACACCCAGAACAGCGGGTGTCTCCTGCACGGCCGGCCTGCTCCTGGCACTCGGTGGCCCCCGCTCAGCCTGAGGGGACGCCTTCCGCAGAGAAGTGCAGAGGGAATAGCGATGACCCTGGGCAGGGGGGTCACTCTCAGCAGATGGGAGGGTGGTAGGGTTTTCATAAAAGCAAAAGATTATAAATAGTCCAATAGCATGCTGACAACAAGAACAGGTGAAAAGGGAAGCAGCTCCCTGAGTAGGTGCCGGTCTCAGCCGGCTTGGGCTGCCCTACGGACACTCTGGCCGGACGGCTGGACACGGACATGCAGCTCTCCTTCCACGGCTGGAGGCCAAGGTCAAGCTCTGCAGGGTCTGGACTCTGGGGGGCCCCTCTTCCCGGCTGGCAGGTGGCCACCTTCTCAGAGAGTGTGTGTGTGTGTGTGTGTGTGTGTGTGTGTGTGTGTGTCTGTGTGTGAGGGGGAGAGGGGGAGGAATTCTGGCGTCTCTTCCTCTCTAGGGCCCCATCATGATGGCCTCAACCTTTCTCGGGTCCTCACAGGCCCCTTTGCCAAACACCATCTCATGGGGTTAGGGATGAGGGGGTGGCGGGGGGGGGCACAGG